CCAATTCCACTCCGCCATCTCATCAAAGATCACATCTCGGGAAACCACCACCTCGTTCTTTACTGGGTTGTAAAGACGATAGCCTTTTGATTCATCACTGTAGCCGGTGAAGATCAGCTTCTCTCCCTTCTCGTCAAACTTGTCTCGGTTTGGAGTAGATATATGTGCATAAGCTATGCACCCAAAGACTTTGAGGTGATCCACCTGTGGTCTCCTATGGTGCCACGCATGTATCGGTGTCTTGTTCCGAACTGCTTTGATTGGTGATCTGTTGAGGATGTAAATTGTTGTATTGACCGCTTCTGCCCACAAGTTGTTAGGAAGATTCTTTGCTTTGAGCATACTTCTCACCATCTCCACAATCGTGCGATTTTTCCGTTCTGCCACACCATTTTGTTGTGGTGTGTAACGGACCGTCAGCTGCCTTTTTATCCCGTTGTTGCGGCAATACTCCATGAACGGAGTATAAATAAATTCTCCTCCACGATCTGTACGGAGAGTTTTGATTTGATGGCCACTTTCCTTCTCAGCTACTGCTTGGAATTGAAGGAATTTGGGAAAAGCTTCTGACTTTTGCTCCAGAAAGAATACCCACATCATTCTGGTGAAGTCATCTACAAATAGTAGAAAATATCTTTTACCGCTGAGTGATTGTGTTCGGGTTGGACCGCATATGTCTGCATGTACCAACTCCAGTGGCGCTTTTGCTCTCCAAGATGTCTTTGGAAATGCTAAACGATGCATTTTGCCATATATGCATCCTTCACAGATTTTGTCTTCTCTGTTGATCTGGGGAAGTCCCACCACCATATTTTTCTGCCTCAATAATTTGAGACCTTTGAAGTTGAGATGACCATATCTGAGATGCCATAGGAAGGATTGATCCAGATTTTCACTCTTGAATGCTACTTCACCATTTTGTGACATAGCAAGAGAGAAAATTCTGTTGGAAGTCATCGGGACTTTGGCCACCATGAAATTGTCTGCTTTGTTGATAATCTCGCACACGCCATTCAAACAATAGCTTGTAATTTTTCAGCATCAGTTGTCCCACGCTAAGTAGATTGAGAGTTAGCTCCAAAACATACAAAATATCTCGGATGAGAGTTTTGTTACCTTCTTCTATGCATACAACAACTGTGCCTTTTCCTTCCACTTTTAGCTTCTTCCCGTCTCCCAATTTAACTTGAGAGTGGTATTGCTCATCGATGTCAGTGAAGAACTCTAGATCTCCAGTCATGTGGTTACTGCAACCACTATCCACCATCCAGGGAAGCTGTGATTTTTGCTCACCATTGAAGCATGATAAGGCCACCATATTGCTTTCTTCATTTTTGGTGCCGCTTGACTCGCCTTCTTCTTGCTTGTTTTGGAACCAGCAATCTCTCTGGGAGTGGTTTTGAATTCTACACTTGGTGCACTTGAATCTGCAGTCTTTTGTTGCATGACCCGCCTTTTTGCAAATTATGCAACTCGAGCCGGTGTAGCCCGATCTTTGTTGTTGATAATTTTGTCTGTTGTTTCCTCTGTAATTGGATCTTCCTCTTCCTTGTGAGTTTCCCCCTCTCTGCCCTTGCTCCGATTTGGCATATTTACTTTCCGTCATGTTGACTTTTGACGAGAAAGCTTGCTCCAATGGCGGTTTGGTGAATCGACTCATTCTTTGCTCATGTGCTACAAGTGAGCCCATCAACTCGCTCATTGATAAATTTGCCAAATCTCTGGTTTCTTCAATGAGAGCAACAATATGCTCGAACTTTGATTATAAGCTCCGGAGAATTCTCTCCACGATTTTTCTTTCTTCTATGACATCACCAGTGGCTTTGATCTGGTTGACCGTCTCCGCAACACGTGAGTGGAAGTCTTTGATGGTGTCGATTTCCTTCATCATCAAGTTGTCGAACTAGCGCCATAAACTTTATCGCCTGATGGAGATCGCCTTTTCAGAACCTTGGAATTGTTCACGCAAGACATCCCAAGCTTCTTTGGCAATTTTGATGCCATAGATTCTGGGGTAAATTGATTTGCTCACTGCTTGCTGAATGATTCTCAAGGCGCTGGCATTTTGCTTGGCATTCTCCTTGTACTCCTTTGTCTGCTTGCCTGCTCGTTTTTTCGAGTCTTCATCCTCGTCTTGTGGATCTTCATATCCTTCTTGGACGATATCCCACAGATCTTGAGAGATGAAAATTGGCTCCATTTGGGCACTCCAGTACTCGTACAATTCTCCATCGAAAATGGGAATTTGATTAGAAGATGTAGCAAACATGGTGTTTGAGGAAGTTGTTGCCATGGATTTTTTAGAAAATTTGTGTAGGCTAGAAATTTGGGGATTTTGGAGAGGATAGAAAGGTATTAGCTCTGATACCAAATTTGTTGGGTATTTGCGGAAGTAATGGTAATTTTGGATCAAAACAAAGGAAATAATTGGTGTTTAATCACTCTTTTTTATAAATCACTTAAACAAACAAGGCCTTAACTTTTGGCACTTGTTCTTACAACTCACACACGCAGGAGACTTCCTATCCTTTCTTTTCTATTTTTGTTTTTCACTTCTCTGACTCTCACATAGCCAAACATACAACACATATATATTGTAATGAGTAGTAGAGAAAGACAAATAACTATAATAAACAATTGGGAACAAATCACTTATGTAGATGGCCCTTTGCATATACTCTCCACGTTGCTCCATGTGCAAGACTTGATAATGGAAGTGACCATTGGTCCATCCAATTTATTTCATGCATTATCATGTCTTCCGCTTCTTTAATGGTAGCACCAAGTAGCTTGATTGGATTGTGAGCCTTCAATCAACTCCCCATGCATAAATGCAATAGGTAGCTTTTCTTGTCAATGTCTTGTTGGTAGAATGTCTCTTCTTATGCAAATGGGTTTTCCTCTTGAGGTGATTGTAGTGGGACATTTTGATAATGACAATTATTATTGCAAATTACCATTCAACAAATCTGTCAACCACAACTAACACCACTTCTTTGCCTACTGACTTGGGAAACCCTATTAGAAATCGAACATAATAATATGGTTACCGATCTGGCTGAGTCGCGGACTAGGTCGCTCTCTTTAAGACGTTCGCGGTACTGCATTTATTGCGCACAGCAGACTATCAGCCGATTGCCTCCTGGATAAAACAGCCAATCTAATTTTGTTGCTCATCGATTTTGTGTGAAAACTGGAGCTCTATGAACTCACTCTCTTTCTCGTGTTTCTGCTCTCTGGGGTATGTTTAGAGGGTCTAGGGGTCTGCTATTTATAGGAGCAGAAAACCCAGAATATTCCCTCTTTCTTTGATAAGTCACATTTTAATTAGGGAGATAATTACTCTCATAATTAACAGGATTTTAGGGCATGATACTATACCCTAACACTTAATGAGTGAACCCTATGTCTTAATTATCTAAATAATAAACTATGAACACTAAGATGGTGCATTGATTTTTCTTTTTTTTTTTTGCATATATTTGGACGAATCATAACCGTTGATTATTATTTCTAATTAAATTGATATTGGGGTATAAGATTTAGAGAATTAAGACCTATATTTTGATCTTTACGGGTTAGAGTATAGTATCATGTCCGAACGATCAGTCAATTCAAGTGTTAGATAGCGTTTTCTTACTCAAGGTATGTGGTATCCCGAATTTCATACTTGCTTTTTGTATATAATTTCTAATTATTTTTGTTAATATTATAGTGCTTTTGAATATACAAAACATTGCTAAATCTTCCACACATGGGTATTGATACTAATATGCTTTAACCAATGGACTTACAATTACTTAATCAACACAAAAATTTATTTATAACTCTTACATCGCCAGTTAAAATAAAATAATGTGCTTTGCTCTCCGTAGGAAAAAAGTATTGGGCTTGCACTTAAAGATCAGCATGTGAGCCCAAATTGTTGGGTCTGGATCCGGTCAGTAATGGTGAGTAACTCACAGTAATGGTGAGTAACTCATTTACATCAGCATAACATCAACATCCTCTTTTATATGGAAAACTTTAATCGCTTTCCTTTTAATATTTAACAGACGATTTCTTTCTCGTTTTAAGTCTGAATTTAAAATTTTTTCCACATTGATATATTTTTACAACAAAAAAATTGAGTCATTTTTTACGAGTCTGTACCATATGGTATTGACTGGTATTAAATAAGAGCATACCATATGGTATGAAAACATACCAAGGTGGTATGAACTTACCAAGACTGTATGATGGTTGAATACATGATAGTATGAGTACATTAACTGTCATTTACGACTTTCATGATTGTGTACCACAAGTTACCACCCCCTTACTAGGGTGGTATAGTATGGTATTTTTTGCTCTTGTATTTTTTTTTCAACCAGAAATTTGTAGATCCTATAGATCTTGATGAACTCGTTCATTCTGTGCTTTTCAAAAATGACTTAAAAAGAAGGAGATACCATATGGTATGGAGTTGGTAACGAGAGGTATGAAAACAATTCTAAAAAAATATTGAAAATTGATCTCATTTTGTAGTTAATAACGAACTCGTTCCATTTGTGCAGAAAAATTAAAATCCGTGTTAGAACGAAGAAGATCAGAGCCAATTAAGAAAACAAAAGAAAATAAAATGTATTTTATTCACAACTCTTAAATCTTGATTTCCTGCACCCACTCAAATCTAAAGTTCCAGATTAGTTAGAAATCAATAGTTACTAACCCTATCTTGAGCCTATGAGGCCAGAAATATATTACAGCAAAGCGAGCAACTGCAATACTGGAGAGCTCCGTTAAATTAAAATGTTGAACATATGGCAGGAGAAGTGCAACTATCAACCAGAGCCTTTTGCGAACAATTTCCACGTTCACTTGAATCGTACTCAAAGGAACCTGACTCAAGCACAACAAATGGACGCAGACAATGAAGACGGTACCACTACTCAATGTATTCTTCCCTTTAGGGTTCTGATATCATTTTCTTTCTTTCCTTTGTACTCCGGTTCATTCGGCTGTTTCTGGTTTCAATTGGCCATGAGAAGGAAAAAGGCTCCATCATCGTCTTGCTCGTCGGTGCTCCGGGAAGTGGGAAGTCCACTTTCATCGAGCATGTAATGCGATCGTCTTCCCGGTCCTGGGCTCGTATTTTCCAGGTTGGTTTCTTTCTCCCTCTCTCACTATTTTGATTGTTTGAACCCTAAGTGTTCGACAAAATGTTTCACTGAGCCTCCATGCCTTAGCTCCATTCTCATCATTCTCCCTCTCAATCCACGACCACTAGCCACCTCTCCTCAGTCTCCTTGTGTTTGATAGCATGAATTCATAGCTTTTATGGAAGCTCTTCAATTATGCTCCCATGGATCAGGGACCATCTTATTTTTGTACTTCATTTGTAGAGGTTAGGAGTTGTTGTCTACTGACTGCAGTGGTATTTAGGTTAAAATCTAGGCATATCAGACATTCATTTTCTTTCTGATAGGACACTATTAACAATGGAAAAGCTGGGACGAAGCCTTAGTGCCTAAAGAGTGCAGCCAGTACATTGAAGGAGGGAAAAAGTGTAATGAAGGCTTCAAAAGAATCATGTTTTGCCAGAATGATAGTGAAGTTTAAGCTGCAATTAAGTTGTACAGTGCACTTGGTCCTGCAGAAACCCTCCTGAATGGTTGTTTTGGGCAGAAAAACTGAAAGCCAAAGTCCAACTTGGAATTATGAATTTCTTAAAGAAAGTTGAGGTTCCTGTCAGTGAAGATTTACGCTCATCACATATAGTTCAGATTCCTGTGCATGAAACTGCTGACTTGGAAAAAGAAAATCAACGCCCCGCGGAAAAAGAAAGCATTTCTTTGTTGTCTGGAGGTGCTAACAAAAATATACAAGAATGTCAGGACCCACATAAGCACGAGGTTGACTCTTCTGTGAGCAGTGTTCCCACACTTGCATGTTCATCCATTTCAACGTCAAATTTTCAGTTTGATAATGAGAAGCCTTCTGATATTATTGTTGAAAAAGTTGAAGAGTTTGTGAATAAGACTAGGAATGCAAGACTTGTTCTTATGGACTTACGCCACAAGTCAAAGATATTATCGTTGGTTAAGGGAAAAGATGCTCAAAGAAACAAAGATTCAAATAAATTCTTCACTTTTGTTGGAGATATAACTAAACTCTATTCTCAAGGTGGTTTAAGGTGCAATATCATAGCTAATGCTGCCAACTGGTAAGTGATTTGATTTTGATTCAGTTTTTTTCCTGCATGTATGAAGCTAAAATTGCCTAGAACTAATCTGGTCATTTTGACTTGTGGTATAACTAATGTCCATCACTTTTGGATCGCATGTTTCTGGAGGAATGACCTGCAAAGTGGTTGTTGGTTGGTCCCCATTTAACATTATTCTGAAGAAATTTTATAATTGCATTATAGGCGGCTTGAACTTGGAGGTGGAGGTGGAGGTGGAGATGTGAATACTGCAATCTTCAATGATGTTGGTCCAGCTCTTGAGGTTTCCCCAAGGGATTGTGCAAAATCTCTGCTCCCCGGACATGTCGTAGCTATTCCTCTCACTTAAGACTCACCCTTATATACCGGGGAAGGAGTGACCCATGTTATACATGTACTGTGCCCGAACATGAATCCTCAAATGCCCAACTGTCTCAATGGTAATTACGCTAAAGGATGTGAAGTTCTTCGTGGAGCTTATACAACTCTTTTCGAAAGGTTTGCATCTCTAGTGAAGACCTAGGTCACTGAAGTGGGAACAAGTGGTCAGAATCCCGCAGGCCTTAAAAGCAAGTCGTTTATCACTGAGCAAAAGAACAAAAGAGATGGTGAGTGTGATTCTAAAAGGAGCAGAAAAAGTACAAGGTATATAGGGTGATGAAAATATGAGCGAAGAGAACAGAAGGAATGTTGTTTCAAAAAATTGGGGTTCATGGGCACAAGCTATATACGATATTGCGATGCATCCTGGGTAGGCTTGGCAACGGGCCGGATCGGGGTCGGGGAGGGCCTATCTGCCACCCGGCCGAAAGTTTGTCGGGTTTCCCCCAATCCGCCCCACCAGTCCTGTCGGGCTCATTTTCAGGCCCAACCCCGAATCCAACAGGTAACGGGCTTCAATCGGGGTTAACGGGTTTACCCCCGCTACCACTGTCAGTCTGGAAAAAACAAAACAAACAAAACAAAACAAACAAAAAACAAAGAATGCAGCCTGGAAATTACTTAGAGAAAAATCAAATGGCTGGCAGGACTCCCAATATCCAAACTGTCTAAACAAATAAAAAAGGATCAAGGCATCCAATCGAAACAAACAAGTTCGTAAACTTCAATCCAAGCAATAAAACAAAGTAGCAAACCACCAGTCCACCAAAAACATAAAGACAAACTCAAAGGAAATGAGCAATCAAGCTCAACATTTAACAACAGCAACGCTCCAGCAGGCAGCAGCAACTCTCCAGTCTACAACAGATAGCAACAACAACTCTCTAGTCTCCAGCAGGAGAAGCAACTCTCCAGCAACAGTAAGCAACAACAACAAGCACTCAGCAGCAGCAGCCACATGCTTGATCTTCAAGCATCAAAGTCCAGGAGTGCACGATCTTGAAAATCTATGAAGTCATACAAATTTGTTTAGTATTCACCATCTTGGAAATTGAAATTACTGATTTAATTGTTCAGTATTCACTAACCTCCTTTCTTAAAGTCTTCACAACTTGGATCCCCCATTGTCAACGCAGAGAAGCAGCTTTCCAATCCGTTTATCCCTTCCTTTCCAGCATCTGCAGGCAAAAGAAAGGAGAATTGAGTTAGTTAATTTCACAATTTATTTGAACCACAAACAGAGTTGGGAACAATTAAATAAATCCCTTACCTAATATCATCCTTAATCCAGGTACGGGGGTACATGATTGGCTCAACAGTTTCAAAGTGCAGCCTACTCCGGTGAGGGTATTTTCCAGCATCACTCTCCACCAATCCAAAACACCAACATTAGGAGCTCGAGTACTGACACCCTCACTCAGATAACGGTCCAATTCAGAGCACAGTGAAGTTGTTTTGGACCTTTTCCTTTGGCTTAGATAAATCTCAAAGCCAAGGTCGCTCGAGGTATGAACAACAAGACCATTTCTAGAACCAGAGGAGGCAGAAAGATCATCCCTAGCCCTCAGTTTCAACTGATACTCACGTACCACATTATAAATAGTGGCCTTAACAGTCTCAGGGTCAAGAGTAGAATCAAGGCTTTGAAACTTTTCATAATAGTACCCAATCAACTCAAGCTTGTATGCAGGATCAAGCACAACAGCCACAGTAAGCAACACATGAATATCAGTCCAGTATTTGCTGAACTTGATCCACACATTTTCAGCCATTGCACTAATGATCTCATCAGGATCAAATCTCCACTCATTCAGTTCGATTTTCAAGTCACAAATCTTTGGAAAGAACAAATTAGTAGTAGGATAATTGCTTCCTGAAAACAGATCCGAAAGTGTTATGAAAACCTCAAGTTTTTTGGAGATAACAATGGTAAACTTCCAATCATCACTGCTAGGCAAGGAAGTATAATTAGGTTCTCTCTAACTCAAACGAGTGACACTTCCTTGTATGGAATTGCATATTCAAGCATAGTGAGTGTGGAATTCAACCTAGTAGGGCAGCCTAGTGCAAGTTTGGTAGAAATACCAACATCTTTTTGCTTAGCAGTCTCATCAAAGAACTCAACTCTCCTTGGAGTTGCAGTCCAATATACCACACTTTCCCAGATCTTTTCAATCCCATCTTTGATAATTTCAAGCCCATCTTTGACAATTAAGTTGAGAATATGAGCAGAGCATCTCATTTGCAGCAATGGACCATTCATTATGAAGTCAGAAAGAACCATCTTTCTCTTAATCTTATCAATCATGGTATCAATTTGTAGAACAATCATCGAGAGTGATAGTGGATAACTTACAATCCACATTCCATGACATGAGGGCCTCTCGAACCACACTTGTTAGTTTCTCACTAGTTTGAGGAGCAGGAACATAGAGAAACCTGTGATACCTAACATCAAACAAGACACAAGAGGCAGACCAAAATAATTAGTTAGTGGTTAAACACATAAGCAAAAAAACTGAAAGAGTGAAACAGCCACATACCTTAGCAAGTGGCTCCTAAGGATCCACTGATTGTCAACATAATGAGCAGTTACAGCCATGTAAGCACTCTTCTGATTACCTGTTGTCCACATGTCAGTGGTGACAGCAATTTGACCTTTGTTACCATTAATCAACATTTGCATCTTTTTCCTCTCAATCTCATACATTGCAAGAATATCACTCTTACAAGTGTTTCTACAAGGAACTTTGAACAAAGGTTGCAGAGAATTGCAGAGATATTGAAGTACAAGTGATTCACCATACCAAGTGGATACTCATGCATCAAAATCATAGTAACAAGTTTCTTCCTAGAAACCTCTGCATTAAACTGACCAGTACAGATTTCTTTCCTCCCACGAACACCATTTGGAAGGAAATTAGTGGCAATATTTTTCAGATGGCCATCGTGAATCTGTTTTTGAAAACACACTTTTATGATTCCTCAAATGAGAGGTATCATTGCTAGTATCACCACCAAGAACCTTACGACAATATTTGCACCTAGCTTTCATCACACCAGCCTTATCAACAAACCTAGTAAAGTGAGGCCAAACATCGCTTTTTAGTGGATGTTTGGCCCCATATGAAAGCGGAGAAGGCTCACCATCATTCACTGGTGCAACACCAGAAGCAGTCACTACATTACCATCATTCACAGCAATTGCTGGTGCATCACCTGCATTCTAAGGTTGCTGCTGGGGTTTAGAGTTGATAGGTGGGGTGTGGATTGAGAGTTGGGAGAGTTACTGAATTCAACACCTTCCATTGCCTCACCTATACATCAATCAGGAAAAAGGAAACAAATCAAGGCTAAATCAACTAAATCTAAGAACTAATGACTAAAACTAATAAGACTCTAGACTTTGGAATCGAGTTATTATCTTCGTGAATAGTGAATGATCAATGAAACAGTGCAGTCGATTGTTAAACAACTATGTCTTACCCCATTACAGCTATTGTTGATTGAAGATAAGATTACTGGTAAAACTGAAGAACAACACTCATTCAAGAGAAGGATCACAGTTTCACCAGTTTAAGAAACACTCTAAATCAAACAGGAAAAGTGTAGAAGATGGACAACAAACTGAACGCTATGCCCAGATTGTCTAGAGTTCCTAGAAACAGCCCCAACTCTAGCAATCTTAGACACTTTAGGCAAGAACCCAATCCAACTCTCCCAAAGAACAGACCCGTTCTTACTGAGCAGTGGAAACCGTTACCATCTCCTTCCTTGAGAGGTCTTTAAGTAGGCTTTCGAAGCGCATCTTCGATCTCTCTCTTCTTCAATGAGGTTACCGTTGATAGAGGCTTTTGAAAGGCGGATTGGTGATGACATTCATCGGGGGAGTTGGTTCTTCTCGATTTTCTGATTGTTAGGGATTAGGAATGAAGGAGAAGACGCCTTTGGTGATCTCGACGCTGACAGAGAAGCTGATTGGGCTTCGAGTGGTGGGGCTTTGGTTTAATCCGTTGAGATGACAATGGGCCAGGGCCCAACAATCTTCCCCTGCGTTCAAGCCTTCATTCCTGTCAATAGACACAGCAATATCAAAGCATCGAGTGTGCAGTTTTTCTCAGAATATAAACCAAAAAGTTTTAATTTCAAGTTTCCATAACATGAATGACAACGACCTCATTCAAGGTAAGGCAAAACAGAGACACTCATTAAACTTGGACCTTTATGGTCTTTCATTCTGGAATACTTATCAACCGACACCTTACTTAGACCTTTATGGTCTTTGAACCATTTCTCAAAAGCACATCAGAGCAGGTAGACACCACACTTAGACCTTTATGGTCTTTGAAACAGATCTAAATAGAAAGACATAGAGCAGACTAAACAGAAAAACACAGAGCATTTCAGATTTTTCTTATTTCTATGATTTTCTCTTCTGAGTTAATCTTCTGGGACTGAGTTTTCCTTTGGCTCCCCCTGAGTTCCAGCCACTCCTTCCATCATATCCTCCCCCGGATTTCCAGCCACTCCTTCCATCATATCCTCCCCCTAAGTTCCAGCAACTCCTTCCATCATATCCCTCTCAAGATCTTCAGCAAAGAGTCTTATATCTTTTTCAGACACAGTTTCAGGTTCGAGTTCAGCTTCTTCTTCTTCAAAAGACATAATCAGGTTTTTGCGGACAGATGATGATGAATCCCCAAGTTGCAGGGATTTTGACTTGTATTTGATGAGTCTGGCAGCTGCTGGTTCAAAGGATTCTCCCCTTTCGAAGGCTGAGGGTCAACACCAATAAAGTTGAGGACAGTGAGGGCGGAGACAGAGACAGAAGTCTCGACTGAGGAGTATCCATCAAGGGAGAGACCAAGATTGGATAGTAAAAGGATGATGAAGACTCCATAAGGAAGGTGACCATCGAGGTGAGCATCAACACCTCGAACAATAGAGCCAAAAAGGAGTTGGGAATAG